ATACCAAGAGAGTAAGGAAAGCTGAAGGACAAAATGTTAATTTACAAAAGTCAATTACTACTTTTTTTTTTAAGTTTATTTACTTATTTTGAGAGAGAGAGAGAGACCGCGCGCGCGTGCGCGCGCAAGCACACGGGAGGGGCAGAGAGAGAGGATCGTAAGCAGGCTCCGCACTGTCAGCAAGGAGCCCGATGCAGGGCTTGAACCCACGAGCGGTGAGATCATGACCTGAGCTGAAATCAAGAGTCAGACACTGAATCGACTGAGCCAACCAGGCACCCTTCACTTTCTAAAGATCCACACAAGAATACAGAACTCATCTTTGAGAAAGGACTAAAGGCAATTCAATAGAAAATGTAGCCTTTAGAGTTAATAGTGCAGGAAGAACTAGACATCCATAAACATACACACAAAGAATCCGTACACAGATTTTACACCTCTCACAAAAATTAAACAATGGATCGTAGCCCTGCTACGGAGTGAGTGTGACAGGGGGCATGCATGGGCTTGGACTATCCCAGGGACTTGGTGAGGGGGCGGGGGGTCCAAGCGCCACGACGCTGTGACCAAAGCGCAGCAAAGTGAGCACACTGGGTCAGTGGTGATGTCGACCACCCACCCGACCAGTCTTGAAACAGTGTCCAAGGAGTCTAATACGTGTGAGTCGGGGCTGGCAGGAAGGTGGGTGGGGGTGGGGGTGAAGGATCATAGATTTAGTGTAAAATGTTAAACTACAAAACTCCTAAAAGAGAACAGAGGAGAAAATCTAGGCGGCCCTGGGTTTGGTGAATGCTTTGGGGACACAATGACGAAAGCAAGATCCAAGAAAGAAAAAATAAATATGTTTTCATCAAGATGAAGAACTCCTGCCCAGAGAAAGACAGTGTTAATTAAGGAGATGAAAACACAAGCCACAGACTGGCAGAAAATCTTTATAAATCACTTACCTGATAAAGGACTGGTATCTAAAACATCCAAAGAACTCTTAAAACTCGTAGAAGACGAACAACCCAATTAAAAATGGGAAATAGATCTGAACACGCAGGTTAAGGAACAAAAGCAATTTGAAAGTGCTGGGTCTTTGGAAAATTGCAAATAAAAGAGTTATCACCAGCCTCTAGGTGTAAACCCTGACAATTGTTTTTTTGGTCGGTTGGTTGGTTGTAATGCAAGGGCCTGAATTAAGCTTTGATTGCTAAGGCATTCACTTCAAAGATGGCCATTTCAAATAAACACACAGCCAGCCTGCAGGAAGAATAAGGCCCCGGCCCCTCACTGAGCCATCTTTTTTGTTAAACATCTTGAGTGATTTCAATAACTATCTGGGCCGCTTGTTTTTCCTCCTCCTCCACTTGAAATGCCCGCTCTTCTGTCTTAAATTCACCAAAGAGGGGTGCCCGGCTGCCTCAGTCGGTTGGGTGGCCGACTTTGGCTCAGGTCATGATCTCACGGTCCGTGGGTTCGAGCCCCGTGTCGGGCTCTGTGCTGACCGCTCAGACCCTGGAGCCGGCTTGGGATTCTGTGTCTCCCTCTCTCTCTGCCCCTCCCCTGCTCACGCTCTGTCTCTCTCTCAAAAAATAAATGTTAAAAATTTTTTTCAATAAATAAATGTCACCGACATCCGGTGTAGGCACCCAAGATCCCAGAGGACAAACACCTGCTCCTTGATAAATGCAAAAGCCCAAGGCACGTCCTGGGTGTTCCTCAATGCTATCATACCAGCATGCTGAGAGGTCTCCGGCTCTAGAGGGTTCGCCTAAGGGGTTTTCTCAAAGACCCTGTGCATATCACACTAGTGGAGGCAGACCTCAAGCCAGAAGTCTCCTGGGACTCCCTGGAAAGGAAAATTGCTAACTACGAGGGCTCACCGTGCCATCATCCAAAAGTGTCTGGTAACAGGGACACCTGGGTGGTTCAGTCGGTTAAGTGTCTGACTTCAGCTCAGGCCATGATCTCACGGCTCATGACTTCAGGCCCCGCGTCGGGCTCTGTGCTGACAGCTCAGAGCCTGGAGCCGGCTTCCGATTCTGTGTCTCCCACTCTCCTTGCCCCTCCCCCACTCAGATTTTGTGTGTGTGTGTGTGTGTGTGTGTGTGTGTGTGTGTGTGTGTGTGCGTGTGCGCGCGCGCGCACGTGTCTCTCTCAAAAATAAATAAAAGTTTTTTTAATTAAACACACACACACACACAAAGTATACCTTAACTAAAAAATCAAACCTTCCTTGAAGATTTTATGCAGGAAGGAGAGAGGGGAATCAATTGGCTAATTGTGGGTTTTTGATGGTTTGGAACAGGCTCTGAATTGTCACTCACAGCTGCCAAATACATCAACCGGCTGGTATCTCTCAAGACCCTACAATCCATTAAATTTCTTAAAGATCCATCCAGGCCTCTATGCTTGTTTCCGCCCAGATACCACAGACCCTAAGCTCCCTCAACTTTCCCCTGAACAGGGCAGAACCAAGAAATACAGCCCCGGCCACCAGTGGAACCCCCTGAGAGGATTACCAGGGCCGCTAACGAGGAGGAAGAGGGAACTGGGAAGGCAAAGGCTCCCAGAGCTACCAACTTATACTAGGACCTCCTTCCAGACTTGGAGATTTGCTGCCTGGCTCTATGCCCATCGTGACATCACAGTGATCACAGCTAAGGCTCCCGGGGAATGGAAAACATTAAGATGAGCCCATCTCCTGCTAGGCGAAACTGGGAAGGTCCAATGGGTTTACTAATTCCTCGACCCCAACCCTTCTTTTCTTACCCTGAAGAGGCCCCCATTTGACCCATGCCCAGAGAAGGAGTCCTTGCAGGGCGCTCCCCCTAATCACAGCATGGCACTACCACATCTTGATTGGAACGGTCAAAACCATCCAAAAGGCAAGAAACTCCTAGGGAAAAGCTTGTGTTTCCTTTCTCGGTCCCCTGAAGATGTAAATCTTACCATGCCTTTGAAATGTAAACACCCCAGCAGGTAACTAAAACTGCCCGCAACAGCTGGCCGACAGAAGGAACAAAGAGAGGCTACACGAATTAGGCTTTTCATGGGGTATGTTAAATTACGTGGGAGGCACCATCGAATCAGTGATGATAAACTCTCAGGTCATAAGTTATGGGTGAATGTTATTAAAAGAAGCGTTCTAGAAATTGCACGAAATTCCCGAGACTCCCCCATGTCCTGGTATAACGTTATCACTTGTAATTCTAGTTATTATCTTGGAATGTTACGTGCCGCAGAAATAAACAAATTGTCCTGGCAACGGCCTCACGATGAACTCTCATCGGATCTTTAACCATGGCCATTTTTAAGTCCTTTGTCAGTCAACAGACAGGTGTTTTACTCTGATGCTCTTCCGAGTGACATTCAGAGATATTCGTGGAGATATTCTCAGAGATATTCGTGGAGAGGGCTATGACAAGCCCTCTCGAATTCAGGTTTCTGGTAACTTTCAGATCATTCCATTGAACTGGGTAAGAATTTACAGTGCTCTCAGGAAAAACCGCATCCATAAAACTGCTAACCAAAGATCAAGAGAAAGGATTAATCACATAGGACTGAGTGAACTGATAAGGATAGTTTTTATGACTTTTTGCTTAAAATTTTCGGACTCTTTAATCTTTTGCTTCCTAGATCTAAGAAAACCCTTTCTCTTAAGCTAGCTATGACTTACACCAATTTATGATAAAGTATACCTTTGTGAACAAAGGTGAAACTATCACTTTTCCTCCCTACCTGATCTCTCCAGAATTCAGAAACTTTTAATGAGTATTCGCAGTATACAGTTACGTAAAATCAGTAAGAATCTAGTCTCCTTGCAAAAGGACACAATTGAAAACATTAGTTGTATTACCAAGGCTTTGACTGAAATGTTATGTTTAACAGAGACACACGTAGATTCAAATATGAACAGACAGCTTTTTAAGGAACTAAGGCTGACTTTACGGAGCCAATAAAGCCCCATGGAAAAATCAAGCCTGATACCTAGTTAATAGGGCTCTCAGCAGCCTCACCAGGTGACTAGGGAAGGTCACTTTCTGTAGGTGCAGGAACCTCAGGATATTTTGAGGACCCCGAGAACAGAGGAATTAAACCCAAACCAGTAGGTGTTGCAGGCAAAGTCTGATGGTTAAGTCCTTGGCTTGGCTTCCTAGCCACAAGAAATTTTTAAAAGTCCAACCTGGGGCGCCTGAGTGGCTCAGTCGGTTAGGCGTCAGCTCAGGTCATGATCTCACAGTCTGTGAGTTCAAGCCCCGTGTCGGGCTCTGTGCCGATAGCTCAGAGCCTGGAGCCTGCTTCAGATTCTGTGTCTTTCCCTCTCTCTGCCCCTCTGAGCTCATGCTCTGTCTCTCTCTGTCTCAAAAATAAATAAAAACATTAAAAAAAAAAGTCCAACCTGAGATTCCTTATGAAAAGTTCCAACAAAGCAGACTATGTGGTCAATCACTATTCTTACTGCACTTATGTAAATTACCCGGCCAAATTTATTAAAACTAGACTCAATTTGCAAACCAATTCGTTTTACCATGGTTATCTTAGATAGAAATGGGGGTGGCTATACAGAGAAAAATTAAGTCCTTCATACACCTTTATAAATATTCGATTCTAGCGGCACCATGAGATCAGGACCTGAGCCCAAGTAGGATGTTTACAACCCGCTGAGCCACCCAGGCGCCCCTCACGGATTTAGTTTTATTGCGGGACTCTTCAAATTCGGGACAACGGTTATGGACTGGACTTCAGACTACTGCCCGTTCAACTATCACAGAATTTGCTACCATAATCCGACCTACTTTCTGGGTTTGGACAAACCCTACTCCTGGACTTTCAGCAGATTAACTAACCAGGCAGTTAATGTCCTCACCATCGACTCTGACTCGTCTGCATCACAAGGGTGGATTGTAGTGTAAACCCTGACAGTTTTGGGTTTTTGTTTTTTTTTTTCTTTTTTGCGAGGCATGGGGCCTGACTTAAGCTTTGCTTGCTGAGGCATTCACTTCAAAAGAGGCATACGCTTCAAAGACAGTATCTAGAATAAACACACTGCCCACCACGTGACTAGATAAAGAGCCAAACCACCTCCTTTGTTTTGGAGATCTTGGTTGATTCCACCTGACCACTCGGACCATTTGTGGTGTCTCTCGTGATTTAAACGTCTGCTCTTAAGTTTTAAATTCACCCATAATGAGTGTGAGCCAGTAAAATCACAGACCCCCACCCTTACCTCAATAAAATAAGAACCCAAGCCTGGGTGTTGTCTCTCTCTACCGAGGACGTGTGACCCCCAGTGCGCTGTATAATTTCCAGCTCTTTTGGTTATAAATTTCCTCCCCCCCCCCCCAAGTTTCCTGGTGGTTACTGCTGAAAGGGAGTCTTACAGTCATAATAACATCATCCACAAAGGCCAGTCCAACCACAACCGGTACTAAGACCCAGCACAAAACGTAGGCGAATGGGGAGCCTGGCTGGCTCAGTGGGTAAAACACTTAACTCGATCTCGAGATCAACTTGTGAGTTCCAGCCCAACTAGTTTACTTGAACAAACACACCAAATACAGGCAAATGGAGAAACAATCACTGGTAAATCCACAGGATGAAAGAGTCTTCAGTTACAAAAAAAAAAAAAAAAATGAGATTCCCAAGCCAAAACCACACGGAGAAAACTTAAAATCCTATTCCTAAGTGAAAGAAGCCACTATGACAACACTGTCTGGCTCCAAGCATAGGACATTCTGGAAAAGATAAACGTAAAAGACAGTAGAAGATCCTCGGTTGCTAGGGAATGAACAAGGGGGGCGCGAGCACGTGAGATGTTCAGGACAATGACAATATTCTGTACGACGCAGAAATGATGAAGACATGTGTTTTCATATTAGCTGAAGACCTGACATTGTGTAAGAGTCAACCCTACTGTAAACTACTCCAAAGTTGGCTCATCAAAATAACAAATGCACCAGAGTAATAGGAGGTAAAAACATATAGGACAGGGGCGCCTGGCTGGCTTGGCTGGAGAAGTGTGCAACTCTTGATCTCAGGGTCGTGAGTTCGAGCCCCTCGTTGGGCGTAGAGATTCCTAAAAAAAAGAAACGAACCTTAAAAAAAAAAACCCTCTGCTAAAAACTATATGTATATATTTATATATCATGATATATCATGATATATATCATGATATATAAATATATGACAGTGTCCAGACAGAGGGGTTATGTGGGAAATCTCTGCACTTTACGATCAAGTTTTCTGTACAATGTAAATGCTCTTTAAAAAGACAAGTCTAGGGGCACCTGCGTAGCTCAGTCAGCTAAGCATCTTGGTTTCCGCTCGGGTCATTATGTCACGATTCATGAATTCAAGCCCAGCGTCTGGGTCTGCACTGACAGGGCAGAGCCTGCCTAGGATTGTCTCTCTCCCACTTTCTCTCTGCTCCTCCCCCACTTGTACTCTCACCACTCTCTCTCTCTCTCTCAAAATAAACACGTAAAAAACTAAAATCAGAAAGGAAAGTCTCCAAGGCAAAAAAAAAACCAAAGATAATGAACACGGATGCGTTCATATTCATCCCTGATGCTAGAAAACAGAACATCTTTAATTAATCCGAACTTATTTCAATAACCCACTATGCTGCTCCTGGAGGCCCGCAGCCTGAGACTTAGACGAGAAACTTCCACTCCATGCCTTGTTCCACAGCCCGGCTTTACAAATTCTGAGAAGGGGGGCACCTGGGTGGCTCAGTCCACTGAGCGTGGGACTTCGGCCCAGGTCATGATCTCCAGGTTTGGGAGTTCAAGCCCCGCCTTGGACTCTGTGCTGACAGCTCAGAGCCTGGAGCCTGCTTTAGAGTCTGTGTGTGTGTCTCACTCTCTCTCTCAAAAATAAACATTAAAAAAAATTTTTTTTCAATTCTGGGAAGGTATGAAAAGCAACGTGAGTTCCACCATGAATGGAAGTGATGCCGTGAGGTTGTCTTGAGTAAAACCGAACACAAATCTTACATGCATTTCCCGCATTTTCCACCTTGCCTCACACCGGTCACAAGT